GTGTATTCATTCAAGCTCCGGCTTCTTCTAATAAAAGACTTCTCTTTAAACCCACAAATCCTAGTTCTTTCGTAGATCGGACTTGAGTTTTTACAGTTGACGCAGTCTGAGGGGAATAAGAGAACAATCTTTGACTTAGAACGGAGCTCGAAAATGGTTGAAACACCGATCAACACCAATACCACCGACCCAACCACGGGAGCCACCGACCTCACAGGAGGATCCACCGATCTTGCAGGGGGAGCTGCCGATCCAACAAGAAACGCCCAGGGTCCGGTCGTCGACCCAGTCACTGGACTCCCAATGATCAACCAGACCGATCAGCAAGAAGACACGACAGGCGCAACAGATCAGGTCGGCCGGACTGGTGGAACAAACACGACCAACCTGCCACAACTGCCTCCCATCGACATGGCCACCATCATCAGATCGGTCGCAGCAGAGCTACAGCAGGGAATGGATGCTCGCTTCGAATCCCTCTGTGCCGAGCAGATTGCCTACCGAGAAGACCTAGATCGGCTTCTCAACTCTAGGGTTCATACCCAAGAGCAGGCCGATCTAATCACCCACCCACCCCCCCCCCCCTCGCCCTCTGATCCGCAACACAGACACGACCAGACTGGTGAACAACCTGTTCAGCACCACGCCGACAGACGACCTGCGGAGAGCACAGGTAGAAGGCTCGAATGCTCGCTCATCCCGCAACACTGCAGGTGCCGACCTGACGACGGTCTCAGAACTTGATCTTCTCCACCAACGCCTTGACGATATCCACAGCAAGATCCACAAAGCGACAACCTCAGCACCAGAGTTGGATAAGATCCTCCAGGAGACGCAGCAGACCCTGTTCACGGAGTCCACGACACTCGATCTATGGGCATGCATCCAAGACGATACAGAGCCGTTGCGTGACTTCATCGACCGGTTCTGATCGATTGTTTCCCGATACAGTTTATCGGACGAGCTCTCCCTCAATATCCTCATCAGGAACTTGAGAGATGATTCATCGTACTGCAAGCGATTGAAAACGAAAAAGACCAAAACCCTAGAAGATGCTTTGCACAAGGCAACCGGCTATATCAAGGTCGAAGAGGATCGGGCGGCCAAGGCCAAAGCCAAGTTAGCCGACGAGAAGTCTTCGCGCGACAAGAAACCCAGATCGTCGACTCAGGACGATTACAAAGAGCCTCATCAACACTACAACAAGGATGATAAGAAACGTCAGCTACCGATTAGTAACCAACATTTTTGTTTGGTGACAATTTATTAGAAACATAGACTTCACTATATATGTAGTGATGGATATTTGGGGTCATTCACTAATTTCTTCTGAGACTTGCTTACGCTTGCAGTATGTTTGGAATTTTTTATGATAAGCACTGTTGTATATGGAAATGGTTTCGCTCTTACTAAATGTAAGAATGAACCGTACGTTTATCACAAGTTCATAACTATAGCAAAGTACTATTTACACCAAAGTAAAGTCTAATTTTTGACCAACTATATCCTTGGATCACAGAATTCATCTAATGTTTTGGTGTATCGTATAACCCAAATGTGTTTAGACTCATTAGAACCGAGACTATTGGTACAAAGTAGTCCATTTGAACTTATATTTGGGCTTACGACAAACCTCCCACTCGCACTCTTAATTTAAACTGGTCTTTTTCTGTTTGGAGGAAAAAAACATGTTTTACAAACCCTAGTGGGTTTAGTGGCTAAGTATCACTTATAACCAATAATCAAGGAAACAAAATGGCGAACCAATAGCAAACCCCAAATCCTGAGTTATATAGGTATATCCCAACGACAGGCATTTTATAATATTCATTAGGATCTTAATGTAGGTCGATATATTAAGTAGGGGTGGGTGGGTATATTATCCGTTATATTTGATTCGATTCGTTATTTGCTTCGATTTGATCCGAAAAATCCGGATATCCGTAACGATTCAAAGCAAAGCAAATATTAAAATATAGTATCCGTCTAAAACAAATCAAATCGCAAATACTAATTTCTGAAAGTTCGGATATCCGCTCCGATCCGTAGATTACATATATACATATTAATATCATAAATTTTTGATGTTTTTATATAGTTTAATTATCTTATTAACAAGTAAAAAAAGAATATATATGATAAAAATTATATATAATAATTTTAAAGTAAGTAATAAACATCTACAATAGTTATCAAATATTTGAAAATAAATTAGAAAAGTGTATTTTAGAGTTTTAATTAATTAATATTTTTTCAGAATATAAAACATAGTTTTTATTTTCTACCATTATAATTTATTATTTATATCTATTTTTCTGAATAAAAATAGTTATTTCACTTATTTTTAATTAGTAGTTCATAATTTGAAAAAAAAACATATGTGTTTTTACCTTTTGCTTGTATTGAGTGGAACAAATATTCAAAATTTTCCGGATATCCACTCTGCGCCCAGACCTAATATTAAGATTCTAATGAATGTTACTGAACAAGAACACTAGCTAGTGATTTTTTTTTTATTTGGTCAACATCAATAATTTTATTAAAAAAATTGTTGTTACAGTATAACATCTATACTATTAAAAGAGAATCCTATTTTTAAATTAATCTCTAGTTAATGTGTTATTTACAATATATGCCATTAAATTTTTATAGATTCATTAAAGGTAATTTAGTCTTATCATTAAACTGTTAACAAATAAATTAAATTAAATTATATTAGTTTGTTAACAGATAATATCAATAAATCATATCTGATAATAATAAAATTCAAATTAATTTACTTTTAAAATTATTTTAAAATCTTTCATAATATCTTAACATAACTACCACATATATATGGTATGAATAACTAATATAATTATATATATTATATGATAAATTAAATATATATTATATTAGAATCAATTTCTTCTCTATAGTATTAAAAGAAAAGGACTACATTAAAAAATTTAAAAATTTACTATGGTATTTACAAAAATGTGACAATTTATAGTCAATGATGAATATATAATCATTATTTTTTGGTTACATATATACATACTATGAAGAAAAAATAATTATATAAATATTTTAATTTTTCTGGTTTGTTAATGATTTTTTTGCGGGAAATTATGGGTTTGCGGATTTGACAAACACAATTTTGTAGATTTTACGGGTTTTAAAAATTTTAGCGGGTTTTATAAATTTTAGCGAAAAATATAGTTTTCCGAAAAAATGCCGGTTTGACAACAAATGTGCTTTTGTATATTTAGCAGAAACACATAATTTTTGAAATTTGGTAGTAAATCACGATTTTACAGATTTTACGGGTTTATGAAAAAATACAGATTTGCGAAATGCTAATAATGCAATTTTGCTGATTTTATGGGTTTTACAGGTTTCAGGGAGAAAATGCGGTTTTGTGAGTTTGGCAGAAACACATGAATTTAGAAATTCGGTCGTAAAACACAATTTTATGGATTTTATAAAATTATGAAAAACACGGGTTTTTGTGAATTTGGTGGGAAATGTGATTTTGCGGATTTTACGAGGTTTATATGTTTTTGCAGGTTTTATAGGTTTTGGTGGAAAATGTTGTTTTATGAATATTATTAAAAAATGCCGGTTTGCGGGTTTGACGACAAAATGTAATTTTGCAAGTTTGACAAAAACTACTTTATTTTAGAAATTTAGCAATAGAATACAATTTTATGATGTTGGGGAAAGCATAATTTTTGGTTTTGTTAAAAATGTGGGTTTACAGTTTTGGCAGAAAATAAAGTTTAATGGAAAAATGCTATTTTTACAGTTTCTACCAGAATTTTCGGTTTTGGTACAACAACGTGATTTTACGATTTTGCGAAAAAATGCGACTTTTTATTTCGATAAAAAAATAGTTTTGACAAAAAAAAAACTTGATTTTTTGGTTTAAATTAAATGATGTTTTTATATGTTAATTTTTAAGATTCAAATGCTGCATCAAATCTCTATTTTTAGCATTTTAAATATCTAAATATTGAGATATTATAGAATTTGTATTCAGATAAAATATTCATATACTGATTTAAAAATATTTAAAAAAATAATATTTGAGAGCATTTGCATCCAAATAAATATGTGGAGGCAAAAACAAACAAAGCCTAAGAATCTTAATTACAAACAAATAAAATCTCTCTTGCATTATAAAATATAATATTTTAAAATATTTGTTACAAAACTTAAAAAAATTTTCGCTAATCAGAATATTTTTTTTTATATAAAATCAAACCTAAATAATTTTAAGAACATAAAACGATATGTAAAAAAAGTTTATATAATCTAATAAAAAAAATTCGTTTGGACCATAATTTTAGATTTAATAATATAAGCTATTTTTTATTTTGAACAAAAATTTACTATAAACCGATTTTTGCTATAATCCAAAAATATTTTATAAAAAGAAACTCTTGCAAGTGCGCAGATCCAAAATCTAGTAAGAATATAAAATAAAATACATTCTCAAGTCATCTCTAATGAGGGTATCTCAATAAATTATTAATAAAAAATTCAAAAGAGAAGAGAGAGAGTGACAAAAGTAGGTTTCTCAAATGAGATACTCTTAGATACCTATTCTCACACTTGTTCTTCTATTACTGGCTTAATTTATTTTTATAACGAAAAATTTAATTATATAAAAAATTATATTAAAAATATTAATATTATGTAGATGAGATACTTTAGAGAGTATCTCACCATTGGAGATGCTCTTAATATAACAAATTTGTGTTTACATCTTACTGACAACTTAATGCATGTGTAGATAACTAGATATATTGTATATCATGTTTTTATTTATTTCAGGTATATAGTTAATATTATTCATTGATGTTATTGTCACCGGCATCATAATCATTTGAAGCAGAAGCATCTAAGAGCAACCTCAATGGTTAATCTTAGGGATCTAATTCAATATTCTTATCAATATAATTAAATAAATAAATTGTAATGAAGGTCTTAAGTTTTAAACCAGGTCTAATTTAGGATTTTTTTTTAAGTTAAGATCTAACATGTGGCAGATTCTGATTGGACAAGGAAAAAGTAAAGAATGATGAAAAAAAAATTGGGAATGTTTCTTTTTCGTCTGTCTCTTTCTCTTTCTCTCTCGCATGCAACTGCAGATGCGATTCCGATACTTCGTCTCTTCTCAAACTGCTCCAAAGATGCAAAAATTCTCTGTGTTTTGATTTGTTGATAAAATTTCTGGGTAACACCAAGCTTTGGGTTTTGAGAATATGGAGACCTAGTCGATGAGCCAGCGAAGGAAGGTGGTTCGGGTTCAAAAGGATGCAAAAGCTCCGACGCGAGCGGCCCAAACGCCCAAATTGGAGAAATCAAGGAAAAATTGCAATCGGCCTCTTCAGCCACACCGCCACACACTGTGGCCATCAGATCGCCGAAATCTAAATTCCTGGCAAATGTTTTTACGTTTTTTTGTGCTTATTTCATTTTTGATTTCCCGTCCTTCTTCTTCGGCCATGGGAGTATTGTCTCTCTCATGGCTCTCCATCATTGTCTGATTAGTGTTTCCTTCGATACCCAATTTCGCATTCGATTTCTCGACTTTTTTTCGAGGCAAATCAGAAAATTGTTTCTTTTGGTTTGTTTGTTAGGGTAAAAGAGCACTCGATCTAGTGTAAAGAGCTAAATATGAATGTCATCTGATAAATGAGCACCCGATCTTGAGAATTTGGCTTTCAAAATCATACATTGTTATAGCTTATCTTGATATATGGTCTCGTGGGATGTGTGTGGGATACAAGAGTATATTTGCTCCTATAAATTTGTTTGAATCTACGCATTTTGTAGTTGAGTAAGTCCTGGAATGTTTGCAAATAAAGCAATTGCAATTTAATTACGTTATCTAGCGGTTTCACGGAGATTCTGTCTCTAACCAGGTGTGTTAGCTCCATGATAGAAACTTTCCAGATAAATGTGGATGTCTAGATTCAGTCATGTATGTTTCTGGATTTAGGCTAATCTAATGGTACATTAAGGTGAAGTTGTTTTTGAAAAGGAACTTAAGTTTTTTTTTTTGTCTCTATATATATAAACAGTAGAGAGTCATGAAGCCGAAAGCAGCGTGGGAACTTGAATACCACAGAGTGTTCGTGGAAATTTCCTTTGCAAAAGTGGTGAGATTGGTTTCTTGTAACTTTCTAATTTCTACAAATAAGCTAGTTCCTTGCGGTTGATTGATTAATGATCGTATGGTTTTTGCAGGTTTATGGTCTTTGTCACTTTATCAGCAACTCACATTCTAAGACCTATATCATTCTCACGAAAAGTCAGAGAATCGAATGATCGTATGGTTTTTGCAATTTGATGATTGTTAACTCTTTCAAGTGTTGTGTATATCAATTTAGCATCTTTGGATTTGTTTAGGGTTTTTGAAATTGTTTAAAATCGTATTTGGCAGTGGAATCTCAACAGTTCATGCTATTTTTATCTCGGCTATGTCGCTGTACTTTGTCTTCTGGTCCGACCACTTTTCGGATAGGTGGCACAACGATCTTGTTGTTTTCAGGAGCTCACGGCTTTCCTCTCTTGGTTTAGGAGTGAGTGATAATTTAACTGTAACCCAAAGCTAATGTAGAATCTCTGAGAGAAGAAATTTTGGACATGACACATGTATGTATATATGATTTGCAGTTATCTATTGGCTACTTCATTGCTGAACATGGGATGATCTTCTGGAAATATCCTTCTCTGGGTGGACTTGAGTATGTAAGTATCTATTGGATACTTCATTGCTGATTTCTCCCCAAAGATATGCAAAATCCTCCCAAATATTCGGCTTGTTGATGTTTTCACTTCCTGTATATCTATTCGTAAACCTCTACACCGCTCAATGGTATCAATGCATAAAGATAACTAATGCTGAAGCTAAGATGGAGAATTTGTTGAGAAATAAACTTGATTTTGGATCAAGTTATAATAATTGGGCCAAAACCCAATTATACTTAATCCAAAGTTCTAGAGTGTTCTCTAGAAAAATCAATACTTCCACCTCTTTAAATGTTCTAGAAAATTATAGAAAATAAATATCTAGAGAAATCTCTAGATAATTGTAACAAAATAATCTAGATAATATGGTAGAACCCTCTAGATTTAGGATTAAAATATTTTAGATATTTTGTACTTTGAAGACTATAAATAGCCATCTCCTCTCTCATGTGTAACCAAAAAGAAAAACTAAAAGAAATTAATAAAAAGTAAAGTTCTCAAGTTCTCATCAAAGTTTTCCTCTTCTTAAACTTGTCCATTTATCTCTAAAGTTTTAAAATACTTTCTCCATCACTTACTAAAGTTATTTCTTTTCAACAAAATGGTATAAGAGCTAGAAGATTCTTTTAAAGATGACAAGCAATTGTATTCCCTTCCAAGTTCCAATACTCACAAAGAGCAACTACGACAATTGGAGTCTAAGAATGGTGGCCATTCTAGGAGCATATGACGTGTGGGAGATTATCCAAAAAGGCTATGTTGAACCAGAGAATGAAGGTAGTCTATCTCAAACTCAAAAGGATAGTTTGAGAGATTCAAGTAAGAGAGACAAGAAGACTCTCTGTCTCATGTATCAAGGATTATATGAAAATACATTCGAGAAGGTCGCAGGAGCAAAGACGGCCAAAAGAGCATGGGAGAAGCTTCGAACTTCTTACAAGGGAGCGGAGCAAGTCAAGAAGGTACGTCTTCAAACTCTAAGAGGAGAATTTGAAGCATTGCAAATGAAGGAAGGTGAATTCGTCCAAGATTACTTCTCACGAGTTCTAGCGGTTACTAATAACCTAAAGAGAAATGGGGAGAAGCTAGATGAAGTGAGAATCATGGAGAAGGTTCTTAGAGCGCTGGATTCAAAATTTGAGCATATTGTCACTGTCGTTGAAGAGACAAAAGATTTAGAGGATATGACAATGGAGCAATTACTAGGATCACTGCAAGCTTATGAAGAAAAGAAAAAGAAGAAGGAAGATCTTGCAGAACAAGTACTCAAGATGCGAATTGATGAAACCAAAGATGAAAGCGGTCGGAGTCATCCAAGAAGAGGTGGCGATCAAGGACGAGGAAGAGGTTATGGTTATGGAAATGGACGTGGCTGGAGGTCTTATGAAGACAAGACTAACCAAAGAGGAGAAAGCTCATCAAGAGGACGTGGGAGAGGAACTCCAAAATCAAGGTACAACAAATCAAACGTCAAATGCTATAATTGTGGGAAGTTTGGACATTATGCTTCTGAGTGCAAAGCTCTGAACAACAATAGAGTTGAAGAGAAGTCCAACTATGTTGAAGAAAGAAGCCAAGAAGAAGATATGCTACTAATGGCGTACAAGAAGGATGAAAGAGATGAGGTCCACAAATGGTACCTTGACAGCGGTGCAAGCAATCACATGTGCGGGAAAAGAAGCATGTTCATGGAGCTCGATGAATCAGTGAAAGGAGACGTGGCCTTAGGAGATGAATCAAAGATGGAGGTGAAAGGTAAAAGATAAATTCTCATCCGAATGAAGAATGGAGATCATCAATTCATCTCCAATGTTTATTATATTCAAAGCATGAAGACCAACATCTTGAGCCTTGGACAACTCTTAGAGAAAGGTTATGATATTCGACTAAAAGACAATAACCTTTTTATAAGAGATCAATCTAACAATCTCATCACCAAGGTGCCGATGTCAAAGAATAGAATGTTTGTTCTTAACATTCAAAATGACATCGTAAAATGTCTCAAGATGTGCTACAAGGAGGAGTCTTTGGCATCTTCGTTATAGACATCTCAACTTTGGAGGCTTGGAGCTACTATCTAAGAAAGAAATGGTGAGAGGATTGCCCTACATCAATCATCCAAATCAGGTGTGTGATGGGTGCCTACTTGGAAAGCAATTCAAAATGAGCTTTCCAAAGGAGTCAGAGACAAGAGCACGGAAGCCATTGGAGCTCATACATACAGATGTTTGTGGTCCAATTAAACCAAGATCACTCGGCAAGAGTAACTACTTTCTTCTCTTTATTGATGACTTTTCATGAAAAACATGGGTTTACTTTTTGAAAGAAAAATCAGAAGTGTTTGAGAACTTCAAAAATTTTAAAACCCATGTTGAGAAGGAAAGTGGCCTTGTGATCAAAGCCATGAGATCTGATCGAGGAGGAGAGTTCATGTCCAAAGAGTTTTTAAAGTATTGTGAAGATAATGGCATTAGAAGACAATTGATGGTGCCAAGATCCCCTCAACAGAATGTAGTAGCGGAAAGGAAGAACAGAATAATTTTCGAGATGACGAGAAGCATGTTCAAAAGTAAGAAGCTACCAAAGGAGTTTTGGGCTGAAGCAGTTGCATGTGCGGTCTATCTGTCAAACAGATCTCCAACAAGAAGTGTTTGGGAGAAAACACCACAAGAAGCTTGGAGTGGAAGAAAGCCCGCTGTTTCACATCTAAGAGTCTTTGGAAGCATTGCCCACGCTCATGTACCTGATGAGAAACGAAGCAAGCTAGATGACAAAAGTGAAAAATACATCTTCATTGGGTATAATGCAAACTCCAAAGGCTACAAGCTCTACAATCCATATACAAAGAAGATAATCATCAGTCAGAATATCATCTTTGAGGAAGAAAGAGAATGGGATTGGAGATCAAATGATGAGAATTACAACTTCTTTCCACATGTTGAAGAAGGTGATTTAAATCAGCCAAGAGAGGAGCAAATTACTCCACCAACCTCACCAACACCACGTTCTCAAGGAGATGAGAGTTCGAGTGAAAGGACTCCACGTTTTAAAAGTCTGCAAGAGCTTTACGAGGTAACCGAAAATCAAGAAAACCTTACTCTATTTTACCTATTTTCGGATTGCGAACCCATGAACTTCCAAGAAGCAATGGAGAAGAAGACATGGAGAAACGCAATGGATGAAGAGATCAAGTCAATACAGAAGAATGAGACATGGGAGTTAGCTTCACTTCCTAATGGGCATAAGGCGATTGGTATAAAGTGGGTGTACAAAGCAAAGAAGAATTCCAAAGAAGAAGTTGAAAGATACAATGCAAGATTGGTGGCAAAGGGCTATAGTTATAGAGCCGAAATCGACTATGACGAGGTATTTGCTCTTGTTTCTCGATTGGAAACATTTAGACTAATCATTTCATTAGCAGCCCAAAAGAAGTGGAGGATACATCAAATGGATGTCAAATCAGCCTTCTTAAATGGAGATCTTGAAGAAGAAGTCTACATTGAGCAACCACAAGGCTATATAATTAAAGGAGAAGAAGACAAAGTCTTGAGGTTAAAGAAGGTGTTGTATGGGTTGAAACAAGCACCAAGAGCTTGGAATACTCGAATTGATAAGTATTTCAAGGAGAATAGCTTCATCAAGTGTCCATATGAGCTTGCACTATATATCAAGACACATAACAAGGATATATTGATTGCATGCTTGTATGTTGATGACTTGATATTCACAGGCAATAATCCAAGTATGTTCGATGAATTCAAAAAGGAGATGACAAAGGAGTTCGAGATGACTGATATTGGATTGATGTCTTACTACCTTGGAATTGAAGTGAAACAAGAAGAGAATGAAATCTTCATTACTCAAGAAGGTTATGCTAAAGGGGTGCTGAAGAAGTTCAAGATGGATGACTCGAATCCAGTTTGTACTCCAATGGAATGTGGAGCCAAGCTATCAAAACAAGAAAAAGGAGAGAGTGTGGATCCAACACTCTTTAAGAGCTTGGTTGGAAGTCTACGTTACTTAACGTGTACAAGGCCGAATATATTACATGCAGTTGGAGTAGTGAGCCGATACATGGAGGATCCAACAACCACTCACTTCAAGGCAGCTAAGAGGATCCTTCGCTATATCAAAGGTACGATAGATTTTGGCTTGTATTACTCTATTTATGATGATTACAAGCTTGTTGGATATAGCGATACTGGGGTGGAGACCTAGATGATCGAAAAAGCACAAGTGGTTTTGTGTTTTTCATTGGAAAAACAGCTTTCACATGGATGTCGAAGAAGCAACCGATTGTCACCCTTTCCACTTGTGAAGCAGAGTATGTAGCGGCTACTTCATGTGTTTGCCATGCTATTTGGTTACGAAACTTATTAAAGGAGTTAAGTTTGCCACAAGAAGAGCCGGCGAAGATCTTTGTGGACAACAAGTCAGCAATAGCTTTGGCAAAGAATCCTGTCTTCCATGATCGAAGTAAGCACATTGACACTCGCTATCATTATATTAGAAAATGTGTTACCAAGATGGATGTGTAGTTGGAATATGTGAAGACTAACAATCAAGTAGCTGATATCTTCACCAAACCACTTAAGCGCAAAGAATTTAACAAGATGGGGATTTTGCTTGGAGTAGCAAATTCAAGTTTAAGAAGGGGTGTTGAGAAATAAACTTGATTTTGGATCAAGTTATAATAATTGAGTTTAAATCCAAAGTTATAGAGTGTTCTCTAGAAAAATTAATACTTCCACCTCTTTAAAATGTTCTAGAAAATGATAGAAAATAAATATCTAGAGAAACCTCTAGATAATTGTAACAAAATAATCTAGATAATATGGTAGAACTCTCTAGATTTAGGATTAAAATATTTTAGATATTTTGTACTTTGAAGGCTATAAATAGTCATCTTCTCTCTCATTTGTAACCAAAAAGAAAAACTAAGAGAAGTTAATAAGAAGTAAAGTTCTTAAGTTCTCATCAAAGCCTTCCTCTTCTTAAACTTGTCCATTTGTCTCTAAAGTTTTAAAACGCCTTTTCCATCACTTACTAAAGTTCTTTCTTTCCAACAGAATTTGCATTTTGATTTCAAATTGTGCACCACTCGCTATCTGGTGTAGCAGTCGCCTACTCTTTGTTTTCTGGAGAAGGACAGTTATATACCTACATGGTCCTCATCTCTGAGATTACAACCCCAGAGATCAACTTGAGATGGTACTTCCCTTTTTTCATATACAACATATCACTTTAGCCTTTGTTTTGCTGAATGAACAAAAAAGTGAATTATCTTGGGGGTCTTATGAAGGTACCTGAACACAGCTGGTATGAAGAAGTCATTGGCATACGTTGTTAATGGCGTTTTCATCTTTTTGGTTTGGCTGGTACACAACTAATCAACACTACTCATTTTGATGCTCAACGTTAATGCGACTACTTATCACTCGAAGCACTTTCATGT